CGTGGTTCTTCCCTTCTCTTTATGGTTTGGGAGTTATAACATCCAAAACAGTTTCAGCATATAAATTTCATAATAGTTACATTGAACCCCGACTTTCAACCTAAGAACGAGAAAGAAGCGGAACGTGAACTTCAATTATAAAGACTTAAATTGGACGTGAATTTTAAATAAATATAAAATTAAAACTATTTTAAATAATCACATATAAATACACATTAGCAACACATCATCGACAATTCCAAAACTCCTCAATAATTACGTGTACCATAGAAATTCTCTAATGATATTGCTATTCTACCGAGTTTAAAAATATATATGGTCAATAATATTTTCTTAGGATAATAAATCTTGAAAGAATAAATTTATAGTCCTTTATAAAAGTATTTGATTACTTAACATTGTGAAAAAATATTGTAAAATGTCAAATCTCACATAAATAAAATTGAAAATTTTACGTACTTACTTTCTCATTTTTTTCTCCCCCTCTTTTATATTTAATATAAAAAATATATTTTTTAATAATATATCAATTCATGAAATTTAATTAATATAATATCTTGATGGAATCGATTAAAATTTTAATAATATTCTTTAAGTAAGATATTTAAATTGAGTCTTTTAGATAGAAAAAAATGTGATTAAGATAAATTAGAAAGACTCGGTCACAATTTTTTATAAAAATTTGTTATATAAATATTTTACATTAATAACATAATTATTCAAAATATTATTAATATCATGTTATTAATTGATTATTAATGATTAATTAACTTAAAAAAAATTATCAGTTTCCTTTGAAATATGCAAACAATCATGAAATTTATCTCAATATATTATTGATGTTGTCTGAAATTCAATAAGAAAACATCACTAAATAAATTCAAAGCATAACCATATAATAAATTCTACAACATTCTCTAACTTGAGTCTCTTGTTGGTATTAAAATAACAAAATATTTTAATAAATTTTTTAATGTAGAACCCACAAACTAATTTATGAGAAAGTAGTTTGAGTCTAATATAGCTAATTATTGTAAGTAAAATCAATAATTATTATTTATATAATTTTAGAAAAAATAAAATATTTATTTATTTATTAAAGATATAATTATATGTACCTGATATGTGTTGTACGAACTTTGAAATTAAGAAATTAATTTTTTCTTTGTTTTATCACATATTATATTCTAAGTTTTTAATGGGATAAACTTAAAATAATTATATTCTTATATATTTTTTTTAGAGAAACCTAACCATACTATTTAACTAACCTAAGACATTTCCTATCATAGGCTTTAAGGTTATACTTACATTATTTTCTACATATATTAAAATTAATTATGCAAAGTCTATTATATTTGATTATATTATTAATAAATCTAAATATCATCAAATGAATCATAATATTAATATATTTTTGACAAAATAAAATTTTCAATTAATTGTAATTTACATTAATTTATAAGAAATTTCAATAATTATTGTTATATCAATTATAAGTTTCAACAATGGAGTGTTTGTTGCTAGAACTAAGAGGTGAGATGATAGAGATAATGGTGACCCCTAAATTTTATAATTTTTTTTTATAATATTATATATAAATGTGATTTTGACCTTTTTTATTTTTTTAATCTTATATAAGTTTTACCGTCCTCCCTTTATTTCACTCACAAATTTATTATTATACCTTTTATTTGTTTAGTTATTTTTTTATTAATCATTTATATTATTTAATTAATTTATATTTTTATCTTATCTTAGTGTTTTTCTTTCCAATATTATCTTTACTCTTATTTATCTTTTTACTTATTATGCTTTTTTTCCTCTTGTTTTTGCCATTAATCATTAGACATTTGTATATTAATTATAATTGTTGGTTAGGAGCTATTTTATGTTCAATATAATTATTTATTCATTTTATTTATGAAAAATAATAATTATATATCAAAATTTTTATGCATGTGAAATATGTAAATTTATTTTTAAAAAATTGGTATAATTTTTTTATAGTCATAGAAATAAGTAAAACAATGATGTAAATGTGAAGAATATCATTGTAGTTCCAAATGCTATTATTGGTAGTATTTTGACAAAAAAAATCCTAAGTTTAATATTTATTGAATTGTGCTACAGAACATTGGAACGAACCTCAAAAAATATTTTATTTATAATAATGTAAAAAAATTTCAAATCAATATTTATTTGTTTCAAACATTCATTATGTGGTATTAAAATCTATAATAAAAAAATTAGTCCCATGTTTTTTTAATTGTAATCATAAAAGTATTATTTAAAGTTCTTATTTTCTCGGTATAATATTGTATTTGAATGTGATTTTTTAAATAAGTAATTTAGTTCTTTTTAAGAACTAAAATATTTTATGCAAAATTTGTCTTATAATTATCTTTTAAAAATAAATGAAATTTATAGTAATTTATAATTTTTTTTATTACTTAACATTATAGAATGTACACTTAGAAAACATTGTAAAATGTAAAATTCTAAAAAAAATAATAAATTTGAACATTTTTTATATTTACTTTATCTTTTTCGCATGTTTCTTACTTTTCTTTTATTTTCTCCTCTCCTATTTAATTTTAAGTATTAATAACTTTTTGTATTGTTGAAATTTAAAAATTATTTAAGTTATTAATTATATTTAATTTAAAAATTATTAAATATTAAAAATTGATTATTATTTATATTTGTAAAGTTATATATATATATATATATATATATATATATATATAAATGTATACAAACAAATTAAGCATGCGATAGAATCTAATTATCTTATTTAAATAAAAAATTTAAATTTTAAAATTTTTAAACTATCTTAATTAAAAAAAAATCTCAAACATAACATAAGAATTAATTTGAAACATTCTCTCTCAAAATTTATATAAATCAATATATGTTTTCAACATAACTTTATAAACTTTTATAAAGAGTTGTCATGCATTTTTGATGATGTGGTACAAGATAGATCATGCGAATCATTATTTGGTTATGTTAAATTTTTTGTAAGCATGTTTGATGTGATATAATTTTTGTACCAAAATCATGCACTACTTGTGCTAAGTTTGAACTAAGTATTTGTAGGTTGTTTAACTTATCTTAGACTAGTTTTGGGAGATGCATTTTAGGAATTGTTACGAATAAAATAGCTAAAACTAATTTAAATTTTCCTAAATTTCTATAATTAAGATATTTTATTAATTATTGGAGAATTTTCATTAATTTTTATATACCAATTAAACCTAAGTGTAAAAATATAATTTCATATCAAATGTCCTGGCAAAATTCCAAAAAAAATTTGCCTAAGAAACTTATAAGGATATCATTAACCTATAATAAAATTTTCAAGTTGTAATAAGTTGATTTGATATAGTTTTGAAATTTTTAAGTTTATTAAACTTTAGAAAATGGTACGGGTGTTTTGGTAAATATATCTCTTTTTCAACATGAAGGTCATTCTCAGAAGGAGACAGCCGTGACGATGTCCTCAGACTTTTCCTGCTGGTGCTGAGTCTAGGAGAAACACTAGGAGTTGGGGATTTAAGGACTGGGGATGAATCACACTGAACTATACTGAGGCCCGCTGGCGAGACACAATTCATTGCAGCACTAGGAGAATCAATGGACACATCTGGGGTTGAAAAACCTGCAAAACACATGGTAAGACTTTTTTTATTCAGAACTTTATTAGTAATAATTATTTTGAAAGTTATAAAAAATTTAGATTTGTTGATTCACTTTATTTTTTTAGCCAACATTGGGTGTTGCTTGGAATCAATCTTAAAATGGAGATAATTCATTATCTTGATCAATTGGAGAATGACATAAGTATGTGACAAGATTTGAAGAATTTGTTTGACATGTAAGAATATACACATGGTTGACATTTTGTGTGTTTTGTTGTACTATATTTTTTACTTATATGTGGTTATATATATATATATATATATATATATATATATAAATAAACAAATTAAGCATGTGATAGAATCTAATTATCTTATTTAAATAAAAAATTTAAATTTTAAAAATTTCAAACTATCTTAATTAAAAAAAAATCTCAAACATAACATAAGAATAATTTGAAACATTCTTCTCAAAATTTATATAAATCAATATATGTTTTCAACATAACTCTATAAACTTTTATAAAGAGTTGTCATGCACTTTTGATGATATGGTAGAAGATAGATCATGCGTCTCATTATTTGGTTATGTTAAATTTTTTGTAAGCAAGTTTGATGTGATATAATTTTTGTACCAAAATCATGCACTACTTGTGCTAAGTTTGAACTAAGTATTTGTAGGTTGTTTAACTTATCTTAGACTAGTTTTGGGAGATGCATTTTAGGAATTGTTACGAATAAAATAGCTAAAACTAATTTAAATTTTCCTAAATTTCTATAATTAAGATATTTTATTAATTATTGGAGAATTTTCATTAACTTTTATATACCAATTAAACCTAAGTGTAAAAATATAATTGCATATCAAATGTCCTGGCAAAATTCCAAAAACAAATTGTCTAAGAAACTTATAAGGATATCATTAACCTATAATAAAATTTTCATGTTGTAATAAGTTGATTTGATATAGTTTTGAAATTTTTAAGTTTATTAAACTTTAGAAAATGGTACGGGTGTTTTGGTGAATTTATCTCTTCTTCTATTTCAATTAAAAATATATTTAAAGGTGAATGAATTATATATATCCATCCATAACCATTAATTATAGTAGTTCAACTCAGTTAATTAAGTAGATGAGTGAGTTTTATAAATGGTTATTACCAAATTTGATTTTCTTAAATAAATAAAGATAATATACATGCTTCCATAATCCATAATTATGGAGAAAGAGACGGTCCATTCTCCATCCCATCGGATCCTGGTATTGTATTTTCCGGGTGTCCGAATCCAAATAAGCGCTCCAGATCCAAAAACAAATTCAAAAATCTTCATTTCGCTCTCTTTCTCTCTCTTTCTTTCTTCCTTTCTCTGTCAACTGTCCAATAATTCAAATCAAATCCCTCCAACGGCTCTTTCCAATCTCCATCTTCTTTCTTCTTTCTTCTTACCTCTCTTTCCTATCGTTCGCTCCCTCTGTCTTCGTTCCTCTCCCAAACAATGAAGCACTTCATGCTCCCAAGAAACCCTAGCTTCAGGGAGCCCGATCTCCCTTCTTCCTCAACCCCTACTAAGCCCCGTCCCTCTCGCAAGCACAAACCCTCCAAAGAAAACGACCCTCCCTCCGATCCTAATCTTCTCGCTCCTTCCCCTTCCCCTTCCAAATTGAAGAGTCCCCTCCCTCCGAGGCCTCCCTCTTCCAACCCTCTCAAGCGCAAGCTCGCCGTCGATGCACTCTCCGATGCTTCTCTCTCCGCACCCTCCGATTCCGGCGTCAAGGTATCGCCAATTAGGGTTTTCATTTTCATTTCGCTTTCATTTCGTCCGATTACTCATTCCTTGCTTGTTTTAGGTTATCGTGAGGATGAGGCCGCTGAACGCGGACAAGGACGACGGAGATCCCACTGTTCAGAAGGTTTCGCATGACTCGCTGTCGATTAATGGCCATAATTTCACCTTCGATTCCGTTGCTGACACGGCCGCTACTCAGGCATGGTTTCTATTTTAGTTCTGCTGAAGTATTTCTATTGCTGTTTTATTGGAATTATTTGATTTGATTTTCGGTGTTTGATGCGCTTTCTATTTATGGTTCTGTTGAGTGCTACTGTTGTTTTCTTGGAATTGTTTGATTTTTGGAGCTTGATGCACTTTCTGCTTATGCTTCTGCTGAGTGCTACTGTTGTTTTGCTGGAATTGTTTGATTTTCGGAGCTTGATGCGCTTTCTATTTATGGTTCTGCTGAGTGCTACTGTTTTGTTGGAATTGTTTGATTTTCAGAGCTTGATGTACTTTCTATTTCTAGTTTTGCTGAGTGCTACTTCTGTTTTACTTGAATTGTTTGATTTTCGGTGTTTGATGCGCTTTCTACTTCTTGTTCTGCTGAGTGTCACTGTTGTTATACTGGAATTGTTTGATTTTGGGAGCTTGATGCACTTTCTGTTTCTACTTTTGCTGAGTGCTACTGTTGTTTTATTTATTTGATTTTCGGTGTTTGATGTGCTTTCTGACTTCTGATCCCGTTTTTCAGCTGGATATTTTCGAACACGTTGGGGTGCCTCTGGTAGAGCATTGCTTGGCTGGTTTCAATAGTTCAGTTTTTGCTTATGGACAGGTTTTTTTTCTTCTTCCCGTTGACTTTTTTCCCCTTTTGTTTAGTTAGATGTTGGTGATGAATATGGTGTTGTGATTTTGAACTTGCTAGACCGGGAGTGGGAAGACTTATACAATGTGGGGTCCTGCCAATTCTTTGTCGGAGGAAAATGATCAACAAGGGCTCGCTTCTCGTGTTTTTCAGCGGCTTTTTGCACGCCTAAATGAAGTACGCATTTGATTTCAGTTCCTTGTTAAATTAGTTGGTGTTTTCTTCCTGTTTCGTGATGTTTACTGTTGTATTTTGTGCGCAGGAGCAAACTAAGCATTCTGACAAGCAACTCAACTACCAGTGCCACTGCTCTTTTCTCGAGGTTGATTGACTAGAGTGTTTCTTTCCATGTTCCTTAAATGTCCACCTTGTCAGTTTAGTCCTTTTTGACACAATTTGTTTTTGCAGATATACAATGAGCAAATCATGGATCTGTTGGATCCGAATCAGAAAAACTTACAGGTAAATTCTAAGCCACCATAGGGGTGTTATTTATTTTTCCTGTGTTTCACTGCTTTATGTTGGAACTGATATTTTGTTCTCTATACAGATTAGAGAAGATGTCAAATCTGGTGTCTATGTCGAGAATCTTACAGAGGAGCACGTGTCTTCAATGAAGGATGTAACTCAGCTTCTAATAAAGGTATTCATCTTACTTACTCTATCACAGTTCACAGGCATTGTATTAAGACTTAAGAGATATGTTCTCTTTCTTCTATGACCTAACTTCGAGCATTGTCTTAAGGTACAATATTTAACAATATGATTAGCCTCAGTGGGACTAGTTTTAGCCTGCTGTTCTGTAGCAGGTCATTTTTTATGCTACGAAACACGAGGTACTCAATGCAAAGCACTAGCACTCAAATTGCTAATTGATTGCCAAAAAATCGAGTGATCTCATGTCATGCATTCACATCCATATTTGTAAAGTTTCTTTGGAAGAGTGTAAAGAATCTCAGCTCAATTGTGTAGGATTTCACTTGAAATGCTTATTGTTGTTTTTTTCAATGAGATAGATCTAATACGATGTGATCTGGTAGCAGTTAAGGTTGCCGTAAATCATCCTTTCACAAAGTGTTTTACTATCATCTACCTTTCATTATGCAGGGATTGTCGAACAGGAGAACTGGTGCAACCAGTATAAATTCTGAGAGTTCCCGCTCACATACTGTTTTTATTTGTGTTGTTGAATCTCGATACAAGGTGATACATTGTCTCATGGCATGGAAATTGTCAAGTAATGTGTATTTTCAGTAACATGAGTGGACTGCTGATATTATATGATCGAAGAATAGATCTTATGCAAGTTCAGACAATTAATGGGTTTTAATTTGAACTAAATTATATAAAAATAAAAGGCGTGTTGCAATTGAAAAGCTTAAGAAATCTAGTCGTCCTGAATTTTTGTTTTTGTCAGCAACTGTTTTCCAAAAGAACTTTATGTTTTAGGATACATTACTCAGCTGTCGATGTAGCTTTAGCTGTAATCATTGAATTGACAATGTTTCATTACTATTCTTGGCACATACATCTGGAAGGTGTTTTGAAGTAAATTAATGTTTGCAGAGTCAAGCAGATGGTATGAGCAGATTTAAAACAAGTAGGATCAATCTTGTTGATCTAGCTGGGTCAGAACGACAAAAATTAACAGGTGCTGCAGGAGAGCGATTGAAGGAAGCTGGCAATATTAATAGATCACTCTCACAGCTTGGGTATGATTTAACATTCGTGTGTATTAAATTGAGAGCAAATATCAGTGTTAAAAATGATTACAAATGGTAAATTAAAGCTTTGATGAATACCAGGCTACTTTGAGAGCAGTAAAGTGTAGAAAAGTAACAAAAGTAGATTATTACGGTGGAGATGAAGTGTTTTTGGGAATCAAGGATTTCTATAGGACCTAGTACTTACAGAGGTTAAATTCTACTGCAGGAATTTGATAAATATTCTTGCGGAAGTCTCTCAAACAGGAAAGCAGCGGCATATACCATATAGAGATTCTAGGCTGACATTTCTGTTGCAGGACTCTCTCGGAGGAAATGCAAAATTAGCAATGATTTGTGCTATTTCACCAGCACAAAGGTAAAATGCAAAGCACTCAATTGTCATTTGAAGTGTTTTATCTCCTGATCCTTCTGTCTTATGAAAATTTTTAAATTACTTGGTCCTGCAGTTGTAGGAGTGAAACATTCAGTACATTGAGATTTGCACAACGTGCCAAAGCTATCAAGAACAAGGCAGTTGTTAACGAAATTATGGAAGATGATGTGAACCACTTGCGACAAGTGATACGGCAACTAAGGGTATATTCTTCTCCATAATTCTCAATCATGTTCTCCGATCTTCATTTTGAAATTTGAATAACTCAAGTGTATGAAATGAACAGGACGAGCTTCATCGAATTAAAGCAAATGGTTACAACAACCCAATGGACTCAAGTGGAGGTCATTCAGCAGCTTGGATCCGACGAAGCTTGAGTTTATTACAATCCAGCTTCAATCGACCATCACGGTTATCCCGTGTTGATGATGATGGTGATGCAGAGATGGAGATTGACGAGGAAAGTGTTGAGGACCATGATGGAGTTTCCTGCGATGCCAATATGCCGAGTAGTTGTAATATTGTAGCCGAGAATGACAACGATATGAACACTGATGATCAGGATTTGGCTCAACACAGTGAGGAACAAAAAATTCCAAGTTGCTCTGGCAGTAAATGTTTGAATGAAGAATCATCCTGTGCAATGGTAGTACGAAACAGCTTCTCTCGTCCTGCAGATCAATCTGACACCGGAGGTTTTGCAGGTTTTTCAGCCCCAGATGTGTCCACTGATTCTCCTAGTGCTGCAATGAATTGTGTCTCGCCAGCAGGCCTCAGTATAGTTCAGTGTGATTTATCCCCAGTCCTTAAATCCCCAACTCCTAGTGTTTCTCCTAGACTCAGCACCAGCAGGAAAAGTCTGAGGACTTCGTCAGGGGTGTCTCCTTCTGAGAATGACCTTCATGTTGAAAAAGATTTGGGCACTAAAACCAGCAATCATAAACGCTCATCTTCTGCCTTTTCTAGTCAAACAGCTCCAAAATTCATTTCTAGAACAGAAAATTTAGCAGCAAGCATCCGCCATGGTCTTGAAATTATAGATGGTTACCAACGTAATGCAGCTTCGAGGCAGTCGTCATATAGGGTTTCATTACGAGCAAGAGAATCTAGACTAATTTTTCCAGCTGACAAAGTTGATGTGGGCCTGCAGACTTCTCTCGATGATAATGTTGAAGAAGATTCTGTTTTATTCACCTGTAGTAATTGTAAAAGTAGAGCGCAGCTTGATGTCAATGAGATTGACAATAACTCAAACCTACAGTTGGTACCTGTTGATTGCCTTGAGTCTGCTGATAAGCCGAAGAAGCAAGTTCTCAAAGTAAGTGCAAGAATTCAATTACATTTTTGTAGTAGAACTTGAGGTCATTATATCTATTTATTGTAACTCCGTTATCTTCTGTTATTTAGGCAGTAGAGAAGGTTTTAGCAGGATCTATAAGGAGAGAAATGGCGCTTGAAGAGTTCTGTGCCAAACAGACTTCTGAGATAATGCAGCTTCATCGCCTGGTAATTTTTTTTTTGTTTATCAACAACCGTCTCATTTTTTTCTTTTGTATGTTGTGGTGAATGACTGTTTCCCATGCTATTTGTAGGTACAACAGTACAAGCTTGAGCGAGAATGCAATGCCATAATTGCACAGACAAGGGAAGATAAAATTCTTCGCCTTGAGAGCCTTATGGATGGCGTTTTACCCACTGAAGAATTCATGGAGGAAGAGTTAGTGGCTCTTACCCACGAACACAAGGTAGAAATATGTTCTTCCAAGGTTTCACAGTTATATCCAATATATTAGATGCTTATACTCAATTACTATCAACAGCTGTTAAAGGATAAGTATGAGAATCATCCAGAAGTTTTGAAGATGGAGATAGAGTTGAAAAGAGTGCAAGATGAATTAGAAAAATATCAAAATTTCTACAAATTAGGGGAGAGAGAAGTGTTGATGGAGGAGATACAAAGTTTAAGAAGCCAGCTTCAATTTTATATCGACTCTTCATCCACTTCAGCGAGGAAGCAATATCCGTTATTGCAATTGACTTACTCATCACCTGAACCCAGTTCGGCGGCAACCCTCGCTGCCATTTCAGAGTCAACAGAGGAGAGAGATGAGATGAATGAAATTCCAGCATCATCCAATAACAATGCTGAAGCACAATTTGAACAAGAAAGAATTAAATGGACAGAGGCAGAAAGCAGGTGGATTTCTCTTTCAGAAGAACTGAGAGCTGAGCTTGAAGCTAGCAGGTCGCTAGCTGAAAAGAGGAAGCGGGAATTAGATGCTGAGAGGAAGTGTACTGAGGAACTTCAGGAAGCCATGCACATGGCTATAGAAGGCCATGCAAGACTTCTAGAACAATACGCAGATTTGGAAGAGAAACACATCGAATTGCTTGCAAGGCATAGACAGATCCAAGATGGAATTGAGGATGTCAAGAAAGCGGCTTCAAGAGCAGGAGTAAGAGGTGCGGAGTCTAAGTTCATAAATGCTCTTGCTGCAGAAATTTCAGCTTTAAAAGCAGGAAGAGAAAAAGAACGGCGAATCTTAAGGGATGAAAATAAAGGACTTCAGGCCCAGTTGAAGGACACTGCGGAAGCAGTGCAAGCTGCTGGTGAACTGCTTTTGCGACTGAAAGAAGCTGAAGAAGCTGTCATTACTGCACAGGTTAGCAACGAATCAATTTTACTTCGATGTTTCTTTTTATCAACTGAATTACTTATGTTTAGTTGCTAGTATTTGATGCTTCCCAGCATTGCTGTCCACCTTTTTTTCACGTTCTGTATGCTTTGGCTCCTGAAAGTAACAACTTTGTAGTGCTAGGACTTATTTTGTGTTTAGGACTCATTCACAAATTTGAGAGACCAAGTTTGTGATTAACTTTTTAGCACTTTTCAAGGACAAATTTATCAATACATTGAGAGATCAAAGTAACACTATTTATTACTTCGGGATAAGATTGTATATTAACATTTTTTATGAACACATCTGTTGATTCATTCTCAAGTTATCAAGAAATTAACAACTTTGTAGTGATATGACTTATTTTGTGTTTAGGACTCATTCACAAATTTGAGAGACCAAGTTTGTGATTAACTTTTTAGCACTTTTCAAGGACAAATTTATCAATACATTGAGAGATCAAAGTAACACTATTTATTACTTCGGGATAAGATTGTATATTAACATTTTTTATGAACACATCTGTTGATTCATTCTCAAGTTATCAAGAAATTAAGAAAATGATAAGAGGGTTGCCTCTGATTATTTTTGACGTTTAACTATTCCAAATTCCAATGAATTACTTCCACTAGTAATTCTGTGCCTGACTTTAACATGTAATATTGCAGAAACGGGCTATGGATGCAGAACAGGAAGCTGCCAGGGCCTACAAACAAATTGATAAGTTGAAGAAGACACATGAGAAGGAGATTACCTCACTTAATGAGCTCCTTGCGGAAGCACGTTTGCCGAAGGAATCTGTACAACCGACTTATGATGACGATGTTGTCATGCCCAGTTATGACGACCCAAAGGAGCCAAACAGTGTTATTGATCAGTTTGAGCCATTTAATAATAATGCAGAGTATGGTGAGCTTGCAAAACTAGCAGAATCATCATGGTTCTCTGGTTACGACAGATGTAATATATAAGTATCATCACATTGTGTCATCTTGTATTAATTTGTTCATATGATTTGAAGAAATGATTGTATTCTTTCGTTCTTACCCCTTTGTGAGCATAAACGAGTTTCTCTCTCATTTCTCCCTTACTCTAAAACTATTTTGAGTAAGAAGATTTACCTGACAGAGATTGTCGGTTGCAAAGGCGATGATGCAACTCTTCATTCTTATTTTGTTATTATTAATTCCAATTGATGGAATTATTATCATTAATATATTTTTTTTTTGGTCTCAATAGTTGAATTTTTGCTTGGAATTGGACTATGTCGAATAAGAATAGCAACTGTCCAGTTTCCTTAATTTTTAAATTATTTTATTTTATTTTTATTTAATTAAATAAATAAATGACAAAATTTTACATGGGTGATTGACTCCAATTGTATTGTATTATACAACATAGTTGATGAACTCTATTACTAACAAGTCCTACTTATACATTATAGAACAGAAATAAATTATTTTAGTTAACTAAATATTCAATACGTTCATTGAAAGGTGCTTGGAGTAAAATTTATATGTTCAAAATGTTTAGCAAAAAATGAATTCAATTGAATCAAAATGCTAGGCTTTATATTTTATATTTTTTTCTTAAAAATGTTTTTAAATCCTTATAAAATATGTAAATGTAAATTTTGATTTTGATTGTTATAAAAAATTTTCTTTGTTTTTTATTCTCTTAAGATTTGAAATTCTGTTTTAATTTCTATTATATGATTTTTTTAAAAATTTATATACTTATTGAAAGGTCAACTAATCATTCTAAACACTACTTATAACTTTCTTTAATTATTATCCTTAACATATCACCGACTTTTTAAGGAAACATTCTCATTTACAATTTTTTTAAATATATAACTATTTTATATTATTTTAATTAATTTTGATAATTAATAAGTAATTAGTTCGAATAATACTAAACCTTCTATCTTTAAGCAAGATCTAAAAATATAGGTTTGGAACAAACCAATATTGTATGATTAATTTAGTCGAGAATTGTTCTCACTTTATACTTTTAACATGAGATTTGAATTTTTTCTATTAAACTTGATATTATCATTATAAATTATTTAAGATAGTTTAGACTTTAATTTTTAATGATACAACTGGCATTCTAATAAACTTGACATGTGTATTGCAATCACCATGTACAAGGTTTTTGGATTAATCCAACTCAACTTTCATGAAATTGCAATATGTGGTGCTCTTTACGGTGGAATCAGTGATAGACCTAGGTTGTCCAGATTACTCGAACCCTAACTTGGGAAACATGAGAACATTATTCGGATTCTTGGAGTGTCTGATTTTTATTTAGTTGCACGTCTTAATATCACACCAAATATCTAAAATTATTCATTTCTGTTAGTGGTATAATTTACAATAAGACAGAATATGTTGTTTGTCAGAATTGAAGCTGAAAATAGATTGTCTTAATCATATCATACGGTTTTTGTGAAAATTTTATAACGTGTAAGCCTACAAAATCAATGATGAAAGAAACCGTTGTGATTTGTTGTGCTACTTGTACAAAATCAATGATGAAAGAAGATTTGTTGTGCTACTTTCATTGAAAAAAAAAACACATAAAAAATAATTGTAGGAAACAAATTTTATAATATTATGCGAATTGTTTTTCTATGAACATTAAATAAATAAGATTCGTACAAATTATAAATATTTTAAAAAACAGAATCACGGGATAAAAAAGAGAGAAGAAAATAAAGAAAAGTGTTAAATGTAATAAATATTTAATTTAATGTTATAGAAGAAGAGAAATAAAGATGTTATGCATTGTTGAGATAATTTAAATATTTGTAGAATTTTAAATTCAAATCTTATTAATGTTATTGTAATTTTTATGAATAATAAAATGTGAGTGTTCAAATATCATTATTCATATATATATTATATAACATAAACATGCATTTTATGTGAAGCATTATTAGCAAACAAACTCTGACATGTTCGAGATTCTACTTCTTTCTTAAAATTTGTATACATTGTTTTTATGTATACTTAAAAAAACAAAATTCAAGTAATGCTTCTGCTATCTACGTATAACTCTGAAGACATGGAATTTATCTCCAACAACAAATCAAGAACCTACTGGTCATGAGTTTTAGCCTTTCAAAATCACAAGAAATCAAGAACTTAGGCGTCACAAAGAACACAAGTTAAAGAACTTGAATTTATTAAATTCATACATAATGGTAGGTACAAAAAAAAGTTTTTTTTTGAAAAAAAAAATCTGTCAATCCATGAAAGAACCAAAAAATTCGGAAGTAACACAGGACATCTATTTCTTAAACAAAGCCCACATCGGCCAAAACACCAAGTAGAAGTAAAGTGTTTATCTTATAAAATGGAAGAGCCTATGCAGTTACTAAGCACGGAGCCGTGTGATAAATACATAGCGAACTATTCTTTCGCCTTTTACTAAAGAATACCGTGTGTTTGTCACTATAAGCGGCATAAGCCAGTTTTTGGGAAGGGTCTTCTTAGGAGGGCCTTATGATTTCAGTTCATAATTGTCCAAGCATCTATTAACTATATATGTCATCATATTAGTGATTTAAAGTTAAGTTAACTCAAGTATTTACAGTTGGAAAAAGATTATAAGGGACCAAAATAGGGTTTTAACCTAACTAATTATATGTGATATTTTGACAACATAAAAAATTATAAATATAAGTGTTATTTATATATTTTAAAATTATTATTAGAAAAAAATAGCAACTTTAATTTATATAGGTGTAAAAATTTTAAAAAATAATTTAAAAGAACTAAAACAAATTTTTGTTCATTTTATAAAAATTAAAAACAATGTTTAAAATTTTAGATAAAAAAAATTTATTAAAAAAAAATTAAAACTGACTAATTTTACGAGACTAATTTAAGCCTAATTTTAAACTACATCTTGATGTAAGAAAAAAAATAGATATGTAAAAGTTATCCTAAAAATCAACTACTGTTATTTCTATACTTTATCTTTATTAATTTTTCAAAAAAATATAATTCAAATTGTTTTTATTTTAAATTATTTTGAGTTTAATTTTAGCGTCTAAAGGCTAGTCCCATTTGAAAACGATCGTGTTGTTCACTTTCTTCGCTTCGAAAGAGGTTCAGAGTAGAAGCAGAGAGAAGCTGAATACTGATCAGAAAGATGGCGCCTCCCATTCCCAAAGTTCTCATGGTCGCTCACAAATACCAGATCAACTCCCTCATTGATATTTTGTTGTTTTTATTGCGAGCTTTCACTTACGACCTCTCGTTTTGTTCCTTTCAGGTCGCGGAGAAGCCTAGCATCGCTCTCTCTATTGCTTCTGTTCTCTCACGCGCTCAGGTGCTTGCTCCTTTCGCATTTCGTATCCAAACCTCCTTACATCAAAACCTATATATAAATGTTTACTCTGCTTAATGTTTCGTCCTCGTGGAGCGAAATGACACGCTCCAGCAATTTCGTTAGGTTACGAGTTTTGTTTGATGTCTTGATTTGGATTAAATATATTTTTATTCCTTGAAATTTTGTTAAATTTTACTTTTAGTCTAAACAATTGTTTTACTAGTTATAGTCTCTGAATTTATTTTTTATTGCTAATTTTGGCTTTTAATTCCTGAATAATTTTCTGTTAATATTTTTGGTACTTGACATGAAGATGTTTTGTTTACAAAGAAAATTTTTGTGAACTAAAATAAAATTATAAAGAGACTAAAAGTGAAAATTGACAAAAATTTAGGAAATAAACTTTGATTCTTTTTAGCTTTCTACATAAAGATTAAGAAACATTAAATTTACATACATTTAGATTAAATTATCCTTATTTATTTCTTATGTACTTAAATGTAACATTAATGTTCTACTTAAATCAGTCTTAATTATTCAATTACATAAAAATATATAGGAATCCTAAAAAAACCAAATTTTGAAACAAAACTAAAAAGTTAAAAGAACCAAAGTTTTGAAAGGAAGCTAGTATATACTTCTTTTGATTTTTGATCTAGTGGCATTTTTAGCGTCCCTAGACTTTTATTCTATAACAAAGAGTGAAAAGAAACTGACTCAAAAATGAATATATTAAAAAGTGTGATGAAGTTCTCATATTGTTGTTTTAGTTTGTTTTTAGAGTTTAATTGGAACGTACCGACAATTTTTTCCATTGTCTGCTGATCACAAATTGTCATGCATGAGATAGTTTTAGTTGGTTAAAATTATAAAAATCTTTACACTGACTGATTGTGCATGAAAATTAAACTCTTATTATTTTGTTTAGAATGTTACATTTTTTTTTTTTTGCATATTATTATTGGCAATATAACTTCTTGAAGCATATTATATATAAGCAGATGTCTACAAGAAGGGGAAGCACGGAAGTTCATGAATTTGAGGGGAAGTTTCTTGGTTCTCCTGCTCGTTTTAAAGTAACATCAGTTATTGGGCATGTATTCAGGTCCTTTTCTTATCATTATTCAGAGGAAAAGATCACTTATTAAGATTTCCCTTTCATTTTATTTTTTTAACCTTTTGAAATATATGATGCATTTGCACTCCTTTTGTCATGTCTATCTTTCAAGTGGAAGTTGCATTAGATTAAATGTTAATGAATACTGTAGAAACTCGCAATGAGTGGCATGTGAGGCAAGAAATTTTATTTTATGATGCAGTTCCACTTCCATTCCTTCTGGTTCCCTTTTAATTTTTTTTTATATCTTTTGAAATATATTATGCATTTGCACTCCTTTTGTCATCTCTCCTTCAAGTGGACGTTGCATTAGATTAAATGTTAATAAATACCGCAGAAACTCACAATGAGTGGCATGTGAAGCAAGAAATTTTATTTCATGATTCTGTTCCACAACTTCCTTCTGGTCGAAGGAAAGAAAAGATAGTGCACCAGTGATGATTAAATCATTAAAGTTGTTTGGCATGAACATCTATATTTGGTTTATGGTATAACCTTTTGGTTGCTGGTAGTGTAGTAACTGCCTTGTTTTCTACTAATTTTTTGAAGATTTAAATAGCAGTTTATGGTGCAAATCATGCTATTTGGTGTCACTGCATGCTACACATGTCTAATCATAAGTGTTTTTAGTATTCACTGCAGTTTTTCTATCTCTTGTTGATAATCTAGTGTAGATTTTCCCGGTAAATATCAAGATTGGTCAGCCACAGATCCATTAGACCTTTTTCAGGCTCAGGTTATAAAGACTGAATCAAACCCAAAGGTATTTCTTTACAAATATTTCCTTTCAATATTAGTTCCTGCCCTTCTATGAGATCCTTGGTTTGTCTGTGAACATGATTCACAATAGAATACTTTGGTGTTGTTTGATCCTAATAACTAACCCCAACTAGTGGGAAAAGGCTTGGTTGTTGTTGCATTAGCTCCTGTCTTTTCATATAATCATGCATTATTTTGAGTTATTGGGGCAAAATAGATTGCTTTTGTCTTTGTTTTCCTTTTCCTAAATGAAACCCAATTCATGATTCTTTATATGCTCATAGTTAGTAAGAAGTAAGACCAGACAATAAAAATCATATTTTTGTTAGTGATCTATCTATCTCTGTACAATTCCTAGAGATTGAATTTAATTTTTTAATGTTTTCTGAATATTCTCAGAAATTCATTTTGAGGAAATGTTCTGAGGCTTTTGTTTGTAATTTGTTATGCATTTTTGAGTTCTCCTAGTTTTGAATACTACAAAGGGGCTGCAGGACATAAGCATAAACTGAAACCTTTTTTTTCGAATGGCAATAGATATAATATAACTTTCTAGCTCAAATAATTATGTATATATGGCATGCATTATTAAGAGATTTTCAGGAGTTATTGGAAGCAATAGCTACCCCCTCAACTGAATGGTGCACTACCCTTATACATGCACACAAAGGATAGAGGTGAGGGGTAGAAGATTCTTTTGTGTTTCACCTGGCTGAAGAAAAAGTGGACAGAGTTCATTAACTTTGTTGACTCATTGCTTTTAGAAACATAGTTGTAGTAGCTTTGAAAAATCACTGAAGCCAAGAATTGCTACAACTCTAAAATGTCCTATTAAGGGAACATGGTGACCCTTTCAAAAAAACAGTGCACACACTTATCACAATTTTGTGTTGATAATGAATTGTTACTGTGTATTTAAATTTACTCATTACTTATAACAACAAGGGAAATGAGAACCGAGCTGTAGGGTGTAGATTACCTGGTCATAGAAGGTTTAGTTTCTTTTCAAAGTTTCACTTGGTCTCAATTCTTAGCAAGGGTTTAAAAAAGTTTCTATTATAATTTCATTTTAACTATCATATTGTTTCTCTATTTTAGCAGCTGCTGTGTCAGTGGTGTGAGACTTGAGTACTCGACACAGTTTTAAATGCTTCTGATTGGGTGTTGTAAAGACCTGATTATATTGAAATGCCTTTTCTTTTTTCTTTTTTTCCTGGTCTTCATTCCACCTCCTTACATTTGAAAAGTGTTTGTTCCATTAATGCTTGCTAACTGCTGGAGAATTGAGTTATTCTGTCAGTTGAGATGTGGCATCTACAGTTTATTTTGTTGTGATGATTTCCTGCAGTTATTAACACCCATTGTTTCATTCAGGCGCATATCTGTAGACATTTAAATCAAGAAGCTCGGGGATGTCGTTATCTAGTATTGTGGTTAGATTGTGATCGTGAAGGAGAAAATATATGCTTTGAGGGTAACTACATTGTTTTTCCTCTCAACATATATTATTACTATAGTTGCTATTCTTTATTTCTTGAGACTTTGAAGAGTATACTCAGTCTGTGCTCTGTTATTTCATTGCAAAATCATTATTTTAATGGAGTTTTTATTTTGTTTTTGAAAAGAAAAAAAACCATCCCTTTGAACAAATCTATTTCTAGTTAAAGGTAATTTGCACAAAAAGAAAATAATAGAACATTAAAATATAAATAATTCTGCCACAGTACCCTTGTTATAGTATGACATAACCCTTCAGCCTAATCTCTGTCTATTAAAAAAGCTTAGTTGTTCTATTGTTTAACACTGGCACCTTAGTATTTGCATCTAAAACTTTATCCATTCTTTGTTTCAAATACTACTTTAGGTATTAGGAACTAATTACCAGCTAAGAGTAGTCTTGTGTGCCAAGTTTCAACTTGTACAAATTTCAAGGAAGTATTTTTCTACTCTTTTTTTGGCATTTTGTGTGCATGGGCTCCACATCCCAATATTAATTTTCTCTTCCTATTCATGGTGAACATTGAATCTCACCTTGTACTATACTAGGATATCTTGTTTTAGGTAGAATCATGCCTTCACAATCAGTAAAGCTTGAAAAATGAGTTACAATCAAATTTAAAATTTATATTTTGAACCATTTGAAATATTGGATGTTGTTGCAGTTATAAACTCTACTGGTTTCAGTATAAATGATACTTATCGTGCACGGTTCTCTTCTGTTACCGAGAAAGATGTTCTGAAGGCTCTAGACAACCTTGTCAGACCAAACAGAGATGAGGCGCTGGCTGTAG